ATGTATAAGAAATGTATTGGCGTTTGAAGTTTGTAATTGACTTAGCAACAAAACTATTATTTATAATTAATGACCCACCGGTGGGTCATGCCGTCGTCAATGTGTTTATATTTATCGAATTTGTCAATTGTCATCTTTCAATGACAGACAGATGGAGTATTTAGCTTCCGTTTTTTGACGAGTATATAGCAAAATTAAAGGGTACTCGTAGATGTGGTTAATGCATGTAGATTGTCGCGAATAATTGAAAGGCCCGCGCGCGCGCGCGTCTTCTCAATATGCTGCTGTTTGCGAGGACAATGCACGGTCCACTAATTATCCGGGCGCGGATTATATCAGTAAGCTCCACTAAGTTTATAATTAAAGGCTGCATTATATGGCAAATTGTGTTTAGATCATCGATAACCTACACACACACGCATACAGAGGACAGCAACCAAAACCGGAATATAATTGTTATCAAACACAGATGGACGTATGTTCTTAAATCATCTTAACTGTGATTGTAAGATTTTACAAGTGTGTTCGAACCCGGCGCATCCGTTAAAAATATTTCAAATACGAGAGAAATTTCTTCGTTATTGTGTTTCACGTGTAAACGACGGCACAAACTTTGTGCAAGTCGATTGGACGAGACGAGTGAGCGGGCTTAAACTGCGTCTAATTAAATTTTCTCCGGTTAAACGCTGGAAGCAATTTGGCGCGAGCGGCGGATTTTATTATGTTAAAAGCTTTCGGGTCAGTTCGGTCCTCTCTCCACTACTCTTTCACTCACCGTAAAATCGTTAAACGAAATCTAAAAAAACCATCAATACCTCTCTCAGGTCGCAGGTACAACGTCGGTGATCGCCTTCCCCACGACACCGGTAATTGCGTCGAGTGCATCTGCGGAATCGGCGCCCAAATCAGCTGTTCTCCTCACCTCTGCGCCCCGCCCGGAGACGACATCAACGACTACAGACCTCCGGGTCTCAGATCCGCACAACTGGACGTCTTCTAAATGTTAAAAGAAGCCTCCACCAACGGACAACAACAACAACAACAAAATGAACGCATATTTAGACATACAAAGTTATTGGGTTATATTCTTCCTTTCTCTGGTAGCATCAACGGCGTCGCTGAAACAAACAAAATGTAAAATTTAAACTCCATTAGTGAACGAGATATACGTATATTATTATTAGATTTTATCAGTAACGTAATTTTTGTTTCGTTTATAAAACGGCCTACTAGACGATGAAAGGAAACAAGCAGAAAAAAAACCTCCGGTAGAGTTTTGAATCATCCGAACGATGATTGTTAGCGTGGTCCAAAGAAAAAGTTCGTCATTTCACATTTTTTCGAACGAATCAAAGTTAGTTTCTCTTTCCTTTTTTTTTTATATATATTTATATATATCGACCCAAACCGTGTAGTACTTGTATTACATACATTATTAATTACAATTTAAGCCACGCGTTGATTATTACACAACACGAGAGAAAGAAATGTAAACATATAAATCTCTCTCTTTTTCTCTACATATAATTATAAATATATATAAATTGCAAGATTATTATTATATATGATATATTATTGCTAGTGACATTTTATAATGATTTTTACAGTAGTTTACATAAATATATGAAATTATTATTAATTAATTAATTAAAGAAGAAAAAAAATAATACTCCAGACCAAATTGTTATAGTTAGATGAGGATGGTAGGCAACCGATGATGATTACGAGTATAGATGATAACGACTATTGCGATTTTCGGTTCGATTAGCAAACTATTTTTTCCCCATTTTCGAATCTCGAACCGTACGAAATTTAATATGATACATATAAATGATTACATATCGTAGCAGAAACGAATATCTTAATTAAACTATGTATGCCAACGTTGTGTGGCGTGTGCGTTTTCGAAAATTAAAGAAAAACAAATCGATTAAATGAATACAAACATGATCGCACTGTATATAGAGAGAAAAAATAAAAAGATATACCGTAGACTTGAGCAGCTGTAAACGGACAATAATTTCTGCTTGCAAGGCCTCGAAGAACCTTTTTAACAAAATCAACAACAATAACTCCACGCATTTACTACAACTACTATCTAGTGTTTACAGTTCAGTTTTCCATTATAAAATGTGTATTAGAAGCAATAAGAGTTAACTCGGATTAAGTGTATCAATAAGCAATATCTCTCTCTCTTCCTCTCTAAAACCTCCTACTTGTTCGCCTTCCGCCATTTCACGAGTTTTCGATATGCATTTTCATTGATGCCCGGCGCATCCACCATTTCACAGACCTCTGCCTCTTCGTTAAATTTCTATATATAATCGCTCGATACTTAAGTTCATATATATTGATTGTGGCTAAAGTATACAAAGCACACGACCGCACAACGTCGCAATTTTCATTTTTAACTCACCTCAAATTCCTGCTTGCTTGCTGTTTCGCTTACAAATAATGATCGCAGGTTGCATGTGTCTTAGCCAGTAGATCTATTTATCCCCTTTATTTCCTCATTTCACTTCCATTCTCTAAATGTTAGCGTTTACTTCGGCTAGAATATAGAACTAATATTATTATATTTACTACTAATACCACTAATATTACTAATACTAACGATTATAAACATTGATTACGAAATAATAATAATGTCGTAAGAAATATATATATATATAACAATATCGATTTACAAATAATGAATGTTAATATTATATTATATATATGTTGAAAAACAACAAATATTGTACAAATAAAATACATATGAAACATGTAAGAATTAGTGATTATTGCTATTACCTTATTATCTATACTTGTAGATGTAGATTCGCACTTGACTTGAACGTTTCTGATAGATTTGACACGACGTTAATTGTTTCAAAATGTTTATCGACGCCCGCTTCGATCCTTTACTTTTTAATGATTTTTGACACCTCAATCATTTCGTTTCGAACGGTTTGAAATTCCGAATCATGAAATTGAAATTGAAACCGAATTCGCAGTGATCATGGAGGAAGTTGCGCAAATTCCGAGTTGCGGTAAGAGACTCGTGGTGAAAGAGTCGATGACGTGCGTGCGGTCGCCGGAGAAGCACGACTTCAAGAGGCTGGTGCGTCGGAACGACACGATCTCTAAACGCAAGACGAAGATCAAGGAGATCCTCGTCATCGCGTCCAAGTCGAAGTCTCTTTCCACGACGACGATGACGACCACCAGTAGCGACGATAAAATGAATCAAACGGAAAACCGTTTCGTCGAGTTGCTCACCAACAATTTGAGCTCGTCTCCGCTTCAGATGGAAGGTGGCAACCGTCATCAGCTCATTGTGAAGGAGCTCTCCAATACGTTGGAGAACGAGAAATCTATAGCAGCCTTCATCAAGAAGTTCTTGGACGAGGAGCAGTTCAAGCTGATGAAACCGATTAGTTGCGGTTGCGAGAAACTTGAAGAGAGGATCGACGATGTTGCGATTGATTTGGGTAAGCTGAGGATCGAGTTGGATGAGTTGCGAGCGAGCGTTCGAGTTGAGCGCGAGATGGATGCAAAAGACAACGCGAAGGCCGTCGAGGAGGTAAGGAACGATCTGGAGACGAAGCTGGTTAAGGTGGAGAAAGGAATGATCGAAGAGAACAGGGATTTGAGGACGGAGATCATTCTGTGCCAAAGCAGACTGAACGACTATTCCAAAGCCGACTACAAGCACTATCCCGTTTGGACTTTCGCCGCTTTCCTCGCAGTCTATTCCATCATCTATTGGACCAGAAGGAGCTGATCATCTGTATAGTAGTCTCTCAATAAATTTAAATACTGTTTTCATTATTTTTTTAAATTAATTTAAGAGGTTGAGAAGCTCTGCTGTAAATGACATCGACCGCCATCTATTGCTGTGAATTAAAAGAACGACCAGCGGCGCTGCGATCGTCTGTCATTTAAGCATGTGTTGAAAAGGTAAACATAACCCTGAACATTGTGCATTCGAAATGGGTATAAAAGTGATCGAGAGTGATCTGTCGAAGCACCCGAAATGTCCGCACGGGCCGACGCTTCTCTTCACGCGTACCGGAGAGGAGGACAAACCATTCTTCGCGTGCTCCGCGTGTCGTGACAGGAAGGATTGCGAGTTCTTCCTATGGCAGAGCGAATACGATATGTTCTCCAAAGCGAAGAACAAGTACTGGGAGGGTCAGGCTAAGAAGTATCTCAGAGGTGTGGACCACGAGAACTTGTACAGTGTATACGAGGCTGTCTCGGAGATGCCTGAGAATGAGAGGATGTTCTGCAAGGATTGCTCGGTGATGCAGTTGGACATCGATAAGGTGAAGCATCAGAAGTGCAACACCGTATTTGGGGTCAGTGATGATCAGATGAAACGTCCCACGGAGATGTTCCAACCTTTGGAAAATGATAAGACAGAAGCGCAATATCTGTTTACGAAGGACACTGTTAAGACCATAGTGGAAATACTGAGGAAACAGAACTTGACGTAATTATATCATATATTTTCTTATAGTTTTGTTGATTTCTTTGTACATTTTGCAGGAAGGTTCTTTGCATCGGTGCCCCAAGGATACACGAGCACATTGCGAACGAACGGGAGGATATGAAATCGATGCTCTTAGATTTGGATAGGAGATTCCATAATTTTTATGGCCCCAAAGAGTTCTGCTGGTACAACTCTTTCAATAATCATTTCTTCTCGGAAGAAGCTAAAACTCATTTCCGCGAATTCCTAACTCTGAGCAGGTAAATTTGCACAAAGAACGCATAAAGCGGTTTAATGACGAATTGGAATTTGTTTAGCGAGGAGAAGTTGGTGATCGTTACAGATCCGCCGTTCGGTGGTCGAGTGGAACCGTTGGCTGCGACCTTCAAATCGATAAATAAGCTTCAGCAAGAGATCAATGGAAACGACGCGGACACGCCGATCCTTTGGATATACCCGTACTTCATGGAGCCGATGATTCTGGGCAGTTTCCCCGACTTTCACATGTGCGACTTCAAAGTGGATTACGACAATCACACTCTGTTCACGGTCGGACCCAAGGGAAGGAAGAAGGGCTCTCCGGTGCGCATCTTCACGAACCTCAAGCCAGAGTAGGAACAATTCGAACGATGTTGTTTGGTGATATAATCTGAAGAATTTGCGTTATTTCAGGGCGATTAACTTGAGCGGCGAGGACGGCTACAAGCACTGCGAGACGTGCAAGAGGTGGGTGTCCGCGGAGAACAGGCATTGTGCCGAATGCGGAGCGTGCACATCCAAAGATGGAAGCACTTACAATCATTGTCTGCATTGCAAGAGATGCGTCAAGGAGAGTTGGAAGCACTGCAACGCTTGCAACAGGTGCGCTTTTGTCGAACACAGATGCGGCCAATTCGAAGAGGTAGTAAGCTTTTGCTTTTTTTCCTTATCTTATATAATATTGTTTTCGTGCGTCCGCAGATTGTGAGGGAATCTAAGAAGAGACCAATCCAGCAGAGCAAACGCAGCATGCAGAAGAAAAAACGAAGATTCAATAATAAAAATGATCAAAATTAAGAACAAAAATCGTTTTAATAACAAATGCAAATACCCTTCCTACGTTCCATTTTATTGCAAAGTTATAGATTTAATTTTTAATGAAGCAATCTGTTTTATAAATTTAGACTTTGTTGTGTATTTTTTTCCATCAAATACTATGAATTTAAGGGAAAAACTTGTGCTGACATCTGTGAAGCAAATATGTTAATACAATTTCATAAACCTGCAGATTGTGAGGGAATCTAAGAAGAGACCAATCCAGCAGAGCAAACGCAGCATGCAGAAGAAAAAGCGAAGATTCAATAATAAAAATGACCAAAATTAAGAACAAAAAACGTTTTAATAACAAATGCAAATACCTTTCCTACATTCCATTTTATTGCAAAGTTATAGATTTAATTTTTAATGAAGCAATCTGTTTTATAAATTTACACTTTGTTGTGTATATTTTCCATCAAAAACTATGAATTTAAGGGAAAACACTGGTGCTGACATCTGTGAAGCAAATATGTTAATACAATTTCATAAACCTTGTATAACGAGCAAAATGACTCGCTTAACGAGCGACGATGAGAAGAGAAGTCCCGAATTGCGCGCCTTCTACATCATTTTTAAATCTTGTGTACACGTATTATGTGTATTTTTGCATATGCTTTTAAAGCATCACGTGAAACGGATATTTTTCCAAAAAAGCATCGAGACTGCGTGGCACCACCACCCTTGAAATCCGATACTTTTTTGTTTTTTAAAATTTCGCATCCCCCATTAAAAATTCGCATGCATTCGCACAAAAGTTGTAACAAAACTAAATGAATGCAAACTACGCTAATTGCAACAGCTTTAGTCAATCTCTACTTACATTCTATAAGTAAAATCAATTTTAATGAGAAAAATCACTAAAATAAAGAAATGCGATTAATTATACATAGTGATCATTTTTATTATTGAATCTTCGTTTTAGACGTCAGTATAGAACTGCTCAAATAGT